TATGCTCGGTTGAACATGACAAATACTGTCATGAGCAAGAGGAAGTTGACATGGTTTGTGAATGAAGGTCATGTGGAAGGATGGTGAGTATTCTAAGTTACCCGTGATAGTCCTTGCAATTTGCTTATTAGGGATGATCCGCGCTTCCCGACTGTACGTGGAGTGATGCGTAGGGGTATGACGGTGGAGGGACTACGACAGTTTATCATTGCTCAAGGTGGATCACGTTCGGTCGTAATGATGGAATGGGATAAAATTTGGTCTTTTAACAAGAAAGTCATTGACCCCGTGGCCCCAAGGTGGGTTCACATGATCACCTTTTAAGTAAATTCATCGGACGAACTTTCACTCTAGAGTTTTTTAGATACACAGCTCTTGACTGTGCATCACTCGTCCCTGTTTTTATCTCAACTCCAGTTACGGTCGAGGAAGTACAGGTTCCTCTTCATCCGAAGGTAAAGCAGATTCCTTTTGAGTAATTCAAATGTTCATTTTTTTCCTGTTTCGCTAAGCGTTTTCTTCGTATATTTATTATTCTTCTACTTACGGTGGAACTGATGTAAAAGGGCTCCATTGCAGAATCAGAGTGTTGGCTCAAAACCCATATGGCGGAGCGCAAAGCTATTAGTAGAGCAAGCCGACGCTCGTGAAATGAAAAGTGGCGATACAGTTACCTTTGTTAACTGGGGAAACATCAAGATTTCCTCAGTCGAAAGAGACAAGGAAACAGTGACGCAGATATACGCAGTTTTGGATCTAGCAAATCAGGTACATTCTATCAAAACACTTTCAGTTTTAGAATGACGAAGTCATGTATTTACAGGACTTCAAGAAAACTATGAAGGTGACGTGGATAGCGGAAGCCGAGGCTCCTAGCGCAGCGCTTATTCCAGTGGTCACTGTAGACTATGATCATATTATCAGTAAAGCTATAATTGCCAAGGAGGATGACTGGAAGAACTACATCAACTATGATTCCGTGGTAAGTTCTCATTCATATGGTGTCTCAGCCCAACGACTAACCACCTCGGTTATGCTGGTCAGGCTATTCTAGTCACGCCTATACAGCTAACTCAATTAAAAGCGATAAAGAACGATTTTCGGGAATTTTTGGAGCTGCGCAGCACAGACACTAAGCATGCTGAAAATCCAGTGATCTTAAGGGTTCTATATGCGTAAATAAATCAAAAATCTGACAATAAATCATAAATCTGACAAATCTGCGGCCAGTTCCATATCATATTTTGACCTGTTTACTATAAAAAATTGTGAAAACTGAGTACATTTTCTGTAACTCTGATCAAAAACTCG